AGGTCTGAGTATGAGTAAGTCTGAGTATGAGTAAGTCTGTGTATGAGCAAGTCTGAGTATGTCCGACAGGAGGGGAGGAGAAAAGTGGAGGAGGAAGGAGAAGGAGTAGGAGGCGTCCAAGTAATAAGCGTCCAAGTAATAAATATTCACTGCGTAATTATTCACTGCGTGGAGCTCCCCATATGTGCATCTACTCGCATGGACCTGTCCGCCGTGAATGTCTAGGCGCAAGAGCTTTCGAAGATTAACGGGCTTCAGTTGTGACGGTCTGGACATCAATCTAACTGCGAATGAATTGGAGTGTGAATGAGCCTCAGTAGTACGAGCGCGTCTCTGTGCATGAGCCTGGGGCCTCCTGGGGCCTCCTGAAACCTACTGGGGCTTCTTGGGGTCTCCAGGAGCCTCTTGGGACCTCCTGGGACCTCCTAGGAAGGTTTCGTGCCCCAGGGGAGGCGCAATCTATAGCAACAGACGTACATAAAACATTGCGGATTAGAGCCACAGGAGAAGGGCAATCTATAGGAACACGCGTAAACACCAAGGACTCGTGCCCCAGGAGAGGCCCAATATATAGGAACATGAGTAAAACATTTAGGATTGTGTACACAGGAGAAGGACCATCTATAGAAACATACGTAGAACATCAAAAGACTCGTGCTCCAGGTGAGGCCCAATCGATAGGAGCATACGTAAAACACATGGGATTGGAGCCACTCCTGTTGCCTTCTGAGGCCTCCTGCTCCTGGGGCCTCTCGGGGCCTCCTGTTGCCTTCCGAGGCCTCCTGGCGCTTCCTGTTGTCTCCTGGGGCCTCCTGTGGTTTCCTGAGGCCTCCTGGAGCTTCCTGGGGCCTCCTGGAGCCTCTTGGGACATCCTGTGGCCTCTTGAGTCTTTCTGTGGCCTCCTGATGCCTCCTGGGACCTCATGTGGTCTCCTGGGGCCTCCTGGAGCCTGTTGGAGCCTCCTGTGGCATCCTGAGAAGAATCTGCGCCACGAGCCTGGCCACCAAAACAAGCAAACCGATCGAGACATCCTCAAAATCTGGCCCACCTGGGGGGTGAAAATGAGCGCCTCGCTCGAGACATCCTCCAAATCTGCTCCGAAAGCGAAGGATGTTGGGCACAGAAACAAGCAAACCGCCTGAGACATCCCCACAAAATGGCAGCGAACGAGCCCGTGCAACCACCCCTGGCGGCTCCCCTTAGGGGTGCTGAAATGAGCGCCCCGCTCGAGACATCCTCCAAATCTGCTCCGACAGCGAATGATGTTGGGCCCAGAAACAGGCAAACCGCCTGAGACATCCCCACAAAATGGCCGCGAACGAGCCCGTGCAACCACCCCTGGCGGCTCCCCTTAGGGGTGCTGGAACCAGCGCCCCGCCTGAGACATCCTCACAATCTGCTCTCCAAGCGAAGGATGTTGGGCCCAGAAACAAGCAAACGCCTGAGACATCCCCACAAAATGGCCGCGAACGAGGCCCGTGCAAACACCCCTGGCGGCCCCTCTTAGGGGTCGCTGAAATGAGAGCCTCGTCGAGGACATCCTCCAAATATGCTCAGAAAAGCGAAGGATGTTGGGCCAGAAAAAGCAAACCGCTGGGACATCCCAAACAAAATGCCGCGAACGAGCCCGGCAAAAAAACCACCCTGGCGCTCCCCTTAGGGGTGCTGAAATGAGCGCCTCGCTCGAGACATCCTCCAAATCTGCTCGAAAGCGAAGGATGTTGGGCCCAGAAACAAGCAAACCGCCCTTGAGACATCCCCACAAAATGGCCGACGAGCCCGGAAAACGCCCCTGGGGCGGCTCCTAGGGGTGCTGAAAAGCGCCCCGCCTGAGACTCCTCACAATCTGCTCTCAAGCGAAGGATGTCTGTTATTGTGTCAGTCTGGGTATGAGTAGTCTGAGTCGAGTAATATGTGTACGTGTAAGTTGGGTAGAGTTAAGTCTGTGTCAGGAGTACGTACTGGGTGGTGAGTAAGTCTGTGAATGAGTAAGTCTGTGTATGAGTATGTCTGTGAGTAAGTCTGAGTATGAGTAGGTCTGAGTATGAGTAAGTCTGAGTATGAGTAAGTCTGAGTATGAGTAGGTCTGAGTATGAGGAAAGAGGAGGAGGGGAGGAGGAAAGAGGAGGAGGGAGAGGCAGTAGGAGGCGTCCAAGTAATAACAAGAACCCCATCTTAGGATATGGGGAACAAGAACCCCATCTTAGGATATGGGGAACAAGCAAACCGCCTGAGACATCCCCACAAAATGGCCGCGAACGAGCCCGTGCAACCACCCCTGGCGGCTCCCCTTAGGGGTGCTGAAACCAGCGCCCCGCCTGAGACATCCTCACAAATTGCTCCGAAAGCGAAGGATGTTTTGGGCCCAGAAACAAGCAAACCGCCTGAGACATCCCCACAAAAGGGCCGCGAACGAGCCCGTGCAAACACCCCGCGGGTCCCCGTAGGGTGCTGGAAATGAGCGACTCGCTCCGAGACATCTCCAAATATGCTCCGAAAG